TTTCAACTCTTTCATACCATTTGCCCTAGCTCACCGTGTACAACGGTCACTTGTTTTCTGTTAATTTATTTGATGTGCTAGAATGTGAGCATCTTGAAGAGGATTCCGTATATGATTAGTTTCTATATTCTTCACAGCGTCCATGTGCTTTAATGAGTGTTTGTTCAGTGATACGGAATAGAATGCAATGGAATGAAATGAAATGTCAGATCCTTTGGCAGGATTAGACCTAAACCTTCCCTGTTACATGAACATCTAGATCATTTTAAAGGTCACCAGATGAAGATATTTCAGAATCTTGGCAAACCTAATGTTTGAGATTAACTAAACTGCAAGGAAAGAATAGATGTCTGAGCTTCTAAGAGGTTATTTAATTTGTATTAGTCAGTATTTAACATAGAACACTCACTGGAGTCAGAATACAGTGCACATGTTACATTTACATCTGCAAATTTGAATAATTTGTAAAGACTTTGATAATGCTGTCACTAAGACAATGTATCTATAACAAAAGTCTAATCTTTCAAAAGGATTGGAAATCTAGCTAGTAAACTAAACTTTAAACTCTGTCCCAGTATGACTGTACCAGGAGACAAAAGATTCTAGAGTCGAATATTTTCCTTTTGATGAAAATGCCTTCTAAAATGGCAAATTTCTTTCCCATTAATGAAAGCTCAAGGCTTTTACTCCTCAACATTATCACCACCCCTTCAAGGGAAATCTTTTCATCCCTTATCAATATCACTAATAAAGTCCATCCCTTAAGACAGATATGATCAGCTAGAATTATTTCTGACGTTTCTTCACAGGGGAATGAGAGGTTTTATTTGTTCACTCTCCAGAGAGAAGTACTGTTGGGTGCCTCAGATCTAATGTGACCCTCTAAATTCTCTCCCCAAAGGAATAGCTAAATAATGAATGATGTGTTCCAAATTGTGCAGCCAATTGAACTTTTCTCAGTTACCAAGAGTTAACAGTTTGGCTAGATTTAATAGTAACCATCAATATAGGATCAATTCCTTTACCTTGCCTAATTGTCACATTCTGTAAAAGTGACTTATCTTCATGGCATTTCAGTGTTTGAATTTCCAGCCTGCCTCCTAATAAAATGCTGTTGAAATGGAGATAGCAAAGGGTCCTGTCACAAAATATACAAAAGCGTATCTGTAATATTCACGGTGTACTTACAAGATTTGCAAACATTTTTATCTTGCCCTCCAATTGAGAGAGAGAGTGCATGCCCTCTGATCTGAGCAGAATTTAAATCAATTCCCAGCAATGAAGCCTGTATCTTTTTTTTAAATTTTGCCATTTGTAACCATCTTTCAGAAAAACAATGGGGATGCCTCAAGGATTTAATATCTATCTATGCAAAGCTTCGAATAAATAATCTAAATATTATATTAGGTTTAAAAGTGTGGTGATACAGCAGGGGGGACTGACTTTTTGGATACTCCAAAGTTACTGATATATTTTGTTGTCAGAAGGATAAATTTCCTTATTTTCATTGATTTACAATCCTTGGGATGAGAAGCTACAAAGTGATCCAATGACTATTTAAATAAGGCTTTAGTTTGAACTCAGTTACCTAAAGAAGAAATTTACCTTCTTTCATTTTATGAAGTATGGCAAGACTAACAAAAATTATTCCTTTTAGTGTGTACTTTTAAGAAATATACTGTACATGTTTCATGTTTAAATAAATTTGACTATTTTTTGAATTGTTTGATTTTGTTAAGTCATGTTCTTCTCACCAAAATTATTTCCATGTAACAAGAGAGTATTATCAATGGTCAGGCCTTCTCTTGGCTATGAGTATTTCCCTTGTCTTAATTTGATTAAAAATAATGTGTCTTGAAGTGTGTGTGAATAGTTAAAGGTAGGAGTTGACCTCATTCTCTGAGCCAGTAAACCAATTCCTTCTGTTCTCTTTATGTACTTTATATGAATAATTCCTGGATATAAAACATTATGTAATCAACTTACATATAATCCTGTTTTTTTGTTTCAAATTATTTCCTTCAAGCAATGTCATACTCATCAGACATAGCATATTTTCAAGTAATAGACAATATATTCAAATTTTATGGCAATATTAGTCAAATACTTTCTATTTCATTCACTTTATATCTTCCAGAGTAAAGTGCAAAACATTCAAGGCAATTGTCAGAATACGAAGATCCTGCATGGTCTGTCTAACCTTAATGAAGAGTCTGTTCAGAATCCCAAGCTAACACCTTTCCTCTTAGAGTAACTTTAAGTTATCCAACCTTATAGCTACTCTAACATTCTTCTTCTACTTCTCTTTTGGAGCCCTTTTTCCTGGCTTTCTTTTTATATTCCAGGCATCCAGTGCCAGCATCCTACCTTCTGATGTTCAGTGTTACTGGCCTAATTTCTCCCTTTTCTGAAATACCTCCTGCTCCAAAACTATTGGACACAATAAAACCATGACTGGAAGGAACACTAGAAACCACCTGGCTCAACATTTTTATGTCCAAAGTGATGAAAGAAACCGAGAGATTAAGTGATTTCGGAAAAATCACAAATTCAGTTAGTGGTAGAGCTGAAAGTAGAATTCTGGCTTCCAGGGCAAGAAGGTTGTGTTAAGTTAGGTTCCTTCAAAAACAGTTCCTAAACAAAAGATTTAGGAACAAATAGTTTATTTGGGAAGTGATTTCATGAGGCATTATAAGAGTATGAGAACATGCAAGTTACCCTGTGGACATCTGGGACCCAATTTTGCTGGGGAATCTTATAGACTGTGGGGAACACATCTTGGAATTGTCTCACCATGGGACACAGATTTTGTGGGCTTTATCCATCAATTTTCATCCCTCATTGGTTAAAGACTGCTCTGATGGCACTAACTCCATTTCCTGTCCACCTTCAAACTGGCTGAAATGCTCCTGTGTCAGCAAATGTCCCGAGACAGAAGCCATTGGTATATAAAGAAAGTGTCTGCATGCAACTTCCACTGTGGGCCAAGGGGAAGAGGGAAAGCACAGTGTCAGCTAGAGGAGTGCATGATCCATGCAAGCAGAGTGGTAGAATTAGATAACTAGCATTGGATATAACTTCTTTACCAGATGTATGTGAAAAGTTGACCTATTATAGTCATAATATCCATGTGATAATTATAATACAGTTGATATTTTTTTCCTGATGCTGTAGTATGGGGATTACCATAGCTACAGCTCTGCTTAAATGCTTAACCTTAAAGTGCTTGGCCAATGAATTGTTTGGGCGTAATGGAAGCAAGGGCTGCCCCATTTGTCATTGAAACCTAAAGCTCATTAAATAAGAAAAAAAACTTCTAGAACTTAGAAAGAAAGGTATGTTTTAACTGCCTGGAGGAACCATAAAACATCAAATAAAATGTTATAATATAAAAAGAAAGAATGAAGTTGGACAAAAAGTAGATTTAAGTGGTATGAGATAAGGGAACAGATATTCCCATTCAAAACCATAAAGCCAAGAACCACAGATCTTGAGTAGAGTTGTCAGATAAAATAAAGGAAACCCAACAAAATGTGAATTTCAGCTGAACAATGGGACCTACTTACACTAAGAAAATTATTTGTTGTTCATCTGAAATTCAAATTTAATGAGGCTTCTTGTATTTTTATTTGCTAAATGTGGCAACCCTAATCCTGGGCTAACCATGATGTTTCTTCTCTGTGTGTGTCTCCTCATGGACTGATCAAGTCCCTGTTCCAACAATAAAACTCAGAGCTGGTTTTAATACTTTATAGTGATTATTAGAATGAAGTACCCTCACAATTTTGGATCAGAAATATGCTTGGTAGAAATCCCAATCACAGAAACAAAAAAATGCTTCTTGGCAAACAGGGAGCATAACTGCAAATGTACAAATAAACTGAAGACAGGTAAGGTGGAAATATTAAAATTAAAATATTTTGTATTTTATAGTAATGCAATGTTACAGATTCTAATTTTTCATCAAGCTTGCCCTGCTAAAAGTTACTATGAATTGAAGGTGAAAATATGTAAAACAAATAACAAAAAAACAACGAATCTTATTATTTAAACTTGTATTCCAGGTAATCCCTGCAGCAGCTCTATTCTATGAAAGCAAAATTTTAATAAATCACATACTGACACTGTTCTCTTCCAGGAATATGTTTGATTTTTTTTTAAATATGAAAATCCTAGTTATATTTTATTTGGAAAAAAAAATTCTTAGACTGGTTTGTGCTGCTCTAACAAAAATACCAGAGACTGGGTAATTTATAAAGAATAGAAATTTATTTTTCACAGTCTGGAAGCTCAGAAATCCAAGATCAAGGTGCCAGCATCTACTGAGGGCTTTATTGCAGCGTCCTCACATGCTGAAAGGTGGAAAGGCAAGAGATAGCCAAAGGCTGCCTGAAGTCTCTTTTATAAGATCCTTGATCCCATTGAGAAAGGGGTAGCCTTGATGGTCTAATCATCCTTTAACGAACCCACTTCTTTTTTTTTTTTTTTTTTTT